CGTAGAAGTCTTTGTTCATGAAAATAGTCTCTTAATGCCTTCCAATAGCTACACTACAAAGTTCTTTATTGCGTATGTGAAATGTTTGAATATGAAAATGAAAATCGGTTCTTATCCTTACCAGCCCTCCACTGTAGCAGTTCAGACACACTGAGCATAAATTTTACTCTAACATTGTAAAAAAGGAAGAAAAAAAACCACTACTTCAAACCACAAGATAATTTAATTTAAGCTGGAAATCTTTTCTGGAAAAAGATGAAGTAACACAGTCAATCGTCTACAGGCTGCCTAAAAGTCAGCGTGTTGTGTTGGAATGGTAAAGTGCTTTGCGCATCTCTTTCTACTCTATTAAAAATGTTGTGATGTAATGAGGACAGATAACATGAGCCTACAATCTGACTATGTTATCAAACGTCTACTGCTGCTACTTACTCTTGTTAGGTTTAGATAACCCCTGTTTCTAATCAGCTGGTATAAGGTCTTATTTCGATTACCCTCAAGTGGATTATTATCACTTTTACATGACAGACACTGTAAAACTGCTCTACGCTACGCAACGGAAGCTCCCTTGTACAAATCGGTGTGATGTCCAGTTGTGCAAATATAAACAGGAAATTTTTTTTTTTTTTTTTAAAAGCACAGCTGGAGACACATAAAACTCATATACAATACACTCAAAAGAACTTCCTAACTGACCTGTGGGACTTGTAGAGCTCAAGAATCTTCTCCTCCATTTCTTTGTTCTGATTTGGTGCGAAGGTCAACTGACTAATGAAGTCCAGAGGGCGAGGCTGGTCAGGTTCATAGTCGCCAATTTCTGCCTGTTAAAAAAAAAAGAAGAAGAAGAACAAAAAAAGAAAAAGAACTTATGTACGAATTGGCTTTTTCCAAAAAAGACAGTTACGTATCCACCGGCTGCACATCACACACATGTGCATGTAAACGCAGATAAATAAATACACAGCATCCAAGTACATAATTACACATGCTGTACCTGCAACGTGTATGAGCCCAGCAGAGCGTGAGTTACAAATGAGCAAGGCAGCCGTCCAGAAGCCACATCTTCACGGAGCTGCAGACACAAAAGGTACCTACAAAAGAAGAAAGGGGGCAAACAAGGACAGATTACAAGTTGAAACCAAGTCAAGTATAAACAAGAACAAAACTTGTTCAAAGCTTTTTCTTTGGTTTCCTTTGAAGTGGAAGCACTTCTATTGTTCACAATAAATATTAAAGACATCCGTGCTTCTTTTAAGCCTGAGAATAAGATCCTCAGGTATGGATTAAATTTCTTTGATGTTTGCACAACTGCTGTTATACTTATCTATCATAATGTTTATATTTGCAGTTACTGACTTGTCTAGCAGCCCTGTGGATTTAAACAGTGCAAGCTGTCCCCTCGATTAACCCTCTGGTCATGAATCCATTATCTAATGAAACGTCACTTCAAACAACCCAAAGACCCAAAGGTGTTATTCTGCCTATTGAAAATGTCTTTCAAAGTCACTTTAAGCAGGATGGACACTTGCTGACAGGGAGGCTTAAAGCTCAGTCATTGAGTTACACAGCTCCCTGTTAACTAGGTCAATATAATGTCCCAGGACAATACTGCATTTTTCCATTCTAATATGGCTAATTAGATAATTAATGAATAGAAAATAGGTATTGGATACAGTCTGTGGAAAATCCTGTGGAATACAACTAGTGGACTGCACTGATTAGCAATCTGACTGTTAAAACTTAACAGGAGCTCCTTATAAATTTGCAGACTTACAGAGCCGAAGAACATTCAGGACTTTTTTGCAGCAGGTCAACAGCAGTGTGAGTGTGTCCTTGTTTAGCCTTTAAGTGCAACCATCAGAGAAGCGGTCCGCTCCATTAGACACAAACCTCTGTCTAAATGCTGTGTGCTTGAAGCACGCCTCTGTGCGTGTGTGCCTATGTATAAATGCAAATAGAAATAACGTGCAAATTTTTTGTATTTTGGTTCAATTTTCTACTTTGCTCTTATTTGATATGTGGCCAGATAAGTGCTTTGATACCAGAGCTGCCTTTTCCCCCCATTTGTGATGTGTCATTTTAGTTATGTGCGATAGTGTGCTGGATAGTGGTGTTGGTGCTAGTTGCTATCCTGTGCTTTCTATTTCACTTTGCATGTTCAGGCCCCTCAAGAAGCATCCCAACATGAGTTAATCAAACTAAAACTAAGGACAGACATAAGTCATCCCCTAAATGTCTGAAGGTCAACCCAAAATATTAGTATTTTTGGCACCCACTCTGAGCCCAGAAACAGTAATACCGTTATTATGCTACTTTTTTTTTTTAATTTATGTTCAATACAAATAAAAAGTAATAAATTTAAAGGAAACACTGGGTGTTAGACCCTGATGTGTGTGTGTGTGTGTGTGTGTGTGTGTGTGTGTGTGTGTGTGTGTGTGTGTGTGTACCTTGTAATGTCTTCAGTGAGGAGGGATGGGTCAGGAGGGTAGAACTTGACGTTGAATGCAAACTGCCAGTTGTTACCTGTAGAAAGACAGGCAGAGAGATCATTATGTAGCAAAGCTAGAAAGTGAGAATTTTTTATATAACCTATTTTCTTAGCTTCACCAAATATCAAACTCAAATGCTGATTCACTGATCATAAACAAAGACCTAATCATGACCACTAACACATCCATCACCTTGTCATACTGTGGTTTTCTGTTGAAGCAAACAAATTTCATTTCAGTTCTAATTTGTCTCCAGTCATCTCTTTTCATTTTTACAGATTAGAAAAGATCGCGCCATCTGGAAAAGTCACACATCAGTGTAAAAACATTTCCTCCTCAAAGGTCCATCGACGTAAGAGGAAATTTTTTTGGCAGCACTGAGCGCTTTAAAGGTGTTCTCTGACCATTTTATCCTCCAGCAGTCAACTTGTGCTCAGTTTTTCTTATGCAAACCATTTCTTTAAAAATTATTATAAAAGGGAAAACTAATTTTTCCTTTGCTTAAATTCCAGTGACCCTTATGTGGGAGTAACAAGAGAACCACAACATTGATTTTAACTTTCTTATCTACCTGAGGCCACCTGCTTATCATCTACACTCACTAGCCAATTTATTAGTGTAAGCTAATGCAATTCTCATTGCATTAACTGAACTGGCTCCAAACGTACTAAGATGGCAAACAATATCACCAGACTGAGGCATCCAAAACTGTATATTTGATTTTGGACAAAATCTGAAAGCTGCCAGGTATCAACAGCCACACAAATGGGACGAGTTTACTGACTGGATTTTATCCAGAGTAGTGCTCTCTGCTTGATATTTTGCAACACTGATGTCAAAACTGAAAAGAAGAAAAAAAAGAAATCTTCTCATTATTTCTCACAGTGAAACCGTTTAATTCTCAAAAGTCCTAATCCGAAACTTCAGGACTGAAAGTTTTACTTCTGGTTTTCTATTTGTGGTATCTGTTGCAATGGAAATCTTTTTACTTTAGACATCTGATTCTAGCCAGCTTCATATTTATGGGGGGACGAAGCTGTGTTTTTATTGGCTGAGACACATTAATGCACACGATGCCTCAGCCACTTGGAGTAAAATGAATTTCCCTGTTTTTCCTTTTTCTTTTTTCTCCTTTGTAAATCTATCTGCACTTTCTGTCTATTACATGCACTGTTATTACATGCAATGTTTTACTTTACTCTAGTAACCTTATAATATCTCATTTTCTCTCTCTACAGTGTCAGCCCTAAAAACCATGCACACCCACACAACACCCATATTGTTAAAATAACCTGTACCGTAGGAAACACCCTCTTCATATGTTGAGTGTAACGTCAAGCTTCCTATTTAGGGTTACTGACAAGCATTAAGAGAGGACCATTTAATTCTTCAGAAATTTGTAAGAATGTAGTTTAACTTTTTGTCACAAGGACTGCAGAGATAGCAACATTTAAAAATATTTCAAGAACACATTTAAGAAACAAAACAAAACAGAAAAGGGTTCAGTTACAATGTTTAGATCCCACCCCAGCATGCAGTGAAACAGAGTCACAGCTGAGTGTAAACTCCAAGCAGTTTAGAGCAGAGTTGTGCCAACCCTGTCATTTGCGTGGTGTTGTGTACGCACACAGGCAATATGAGTAACTCAAATGAACATCAGCCCACATGTACGGTCTCTCTCTCTGGCCATAAACATCCGTAGACAGCGGGAGAAACTGAGCACACAGCCAGATGCACAGCGCTCATCCACGAGCGACAGCCACACACACTTTGAACACACCCAGACATAACTACCTAACATGCACTAATTAAAAACATTTTATGTGCCTAAATGATATGTTCTCACTCTTAAAAGTGCAAATTCAAGTTTACGACAGTGTGTTAAAGCCTGTTTTGGTTATAGTGTAAAAAGGAGAAGTAAGAAATGGACAGCAACCAAAAAGAAGTGAAGATTTTCAAACATTTGTGACTTTCAGAATTACAGAGTCGCACTCTGAATCAGTCCATGTGACTGTGTCGACTGATCCAACCGGCATGACAATATGAAACAGCAGTGTCTAGGTCCATTAAAATGCTGCAGGAGGACTGAGTATTACTCAATCTGCAATACTTAGTAATACTCAATTATGGCAAGCAATGTATCACAATAAATAGATTTTATATGCCCTTTACTTGGTTGCTTTCATCACCCCCAAGGCATTACTACTGAATGACCAAGAAAAATGTTGACCTGGCATTACTTCGTTGTCCACCACCCCAGTAAAACCCATTACGAATCAATGTCAACTTTAAATGTTAGATTTAGGTGGATATGATAGAGAAATGCTAGTACAAAACTGTATCTAAAAAATTAACTAACAAGGAAATAACACCAAATGAAAGTTCTTTTAACTGAAAAAAAAATGCAATGACAAACTACAGAAGCTGTGACTTGATGAGCTCATCTCCAGTTTGTCGTTAAGCTTCTCATTAAACTATAGATGCTGTCACAAATAGGGCATATTGTCCACTATCTGCATGCATGCAATTATAAAACAAAGCTTTATACCCTTCGCTGCTCTGTACCACACCCTTAATGGCTGTCAGTCCACAAAAGATGAGATCCAACACCTCAGCCCCCTTTGATAAATGAACAACAGTCAATAAAGAGGTCAATAAATAATAAAGTAGAGCGATCACACCCTGGTAACCTCTGCCAGGGTGCCAGACTGCTGCTGTTTGGTCTCAAATATCTCTGGTGCCTTTGTTTGACTTAATTGTGATGCAGTTTGTTTTTCTTTTGATATATGGACACTTGTCCCATTTTACTAGCTCAATATTTTATTCATTGCCTTTTGGCTGACATGATAACAAAGATGCTTGTTTTTCTAACAACCAAAGCCATCTTGTGTCATTAAGGCAGAGCGAAAAGAATGCGCGGATGGACGGACGGACTTGAGTGTCTTTATGTCAGCGTCCTGAAAAAGAAAAAAAAAAAAGTTCTACTTACTGCGTATCTGTCTTTTAATTTCTTTAGTGGGGTCCAACCAACACTAGAATGAGAAGGGAACAAGGAAAGAGAAAAAGAAGACAGTTACCTTCTGCCATATATACTACACAATATCAAAGCATCCATGTCTGCGGTTTCTTCATGAGGACATTATTAACTTATTTGTTACACCCTGAGTATGTGTGTCTATGGATACAAACCTTCTGGTCATGGTTATCCTTGTATGTCAGGCCAAAGTAGTCTTTTTCCAGTAGATTAAGGTGCTCACACACCTTAAAGAATAAGTACTGACCCTTGGCACGTTTCTGCAAAGAAACAAAACATTATATTTATTTTATTATTATTATAACTGCTGTTATTAAAACAATATTATAAACCACTCTAACATTTCCAGCTTCTTCCCCAAAATGTTTCAAACATCAAGCTTTAAGCTTATGAAATATTCCTGGAACCACACGGGACCCCTGATTAAGTTCATAACCTTTTCACTATTGCAAAATGAGACACTTGTAAAATTCCTGTCCACAGCTCTCTCACTCTCAGAGTCTCTCTTTTCCTTGTGTTTCATTTTCTTCTGTTTCATTATTGGTTTACACGCTCTCTCTCAGTCTCGCCATCTGGACCACACATTCCTTTAAAAGTTAAAAAAAAAAAAAAACTGTTAGCGATAAAATCCTCCAGACTCAGCTATGACAATGACATTTAGCACACATCCATGCTTGCATGCGCAAGCGTGCACGCACGCACGCACGCACGCACGCACACACACGCAACCTTTAAGCAGACAAAAGGTCAGACAGAAAGAGGGTGGACAGCTGGGGAAAAATGATGGGAAAGAATGAAATAATCAAATAACGCTTGTTTCTTTTCAGTTAGTCAGCCTCAGTGTAACACTGGTGCACAGACTGAGTGCTATTCAGCAGAGAGACATATAGACTGGGCAGGGAGCGTGGTGAGAGTGAAAGGAAGGGGATGAAAGAGTGCATTTTTCTTCTTGTTCTGGGACGGCTGAAAACATCTGCGGTATTTTCCTAGACTCCGTCAAACACATGCGCAACGCACACGCAAATCTGAGAACGTGGCCTTTTAGAGTCCCTGAGTCTACACCAGAGTGCCTTCAAGCAAGGCACTGGCTGAGGTCAACTGAAATATCAACAGGCAGTCGTATAGATTATGTATTTAGTTTATGTAAATGGGATTAGAGCCACAGTCATTTAAAAGAAGATGAATTACCTGTTTGTTTCTTGCTGCTCAAACATATTTCTAACTCAGTGTTAAAAACTGAAACATCTGTACCTAATGAAATGCTATGAAACACTACAAACCACGTGATGCTAAAATCCTGCTGAAACCAACATTAAGTAAAATTCTTAGAATCGGCATTAAGCCCATGTGACACTAAGACTCCCCCTTTGAAACCCTCAACAAAGTCAGAAAATGTCTCGCTAGAGTTTTTATTCAGTGGTCTACAACTAATAAAATATGCATTAAGTTATTACTCAGGGATAAATTTGATGCCAGGGGTTAATAAATAGGACAGATGGATGATGGAAGAATGGACAGGGAGTGTGTGTGTGTGTGTGTGTGTGTGTGTGTGTGTTGGAGGCCTGCTGGGCAAAACAGAAAATTTAATCTCTGGAATGCATTGTGCATCTCTCCCTCTCGCGATCCTAACTATGCCAGCATGTAGAGGGAGGCATGGATGGATATGTGTGTGAGTGCGTATGTGTGTGCGGGTGCATTATAGGACAATAGCAGTTAGTTGCCATATCAGCGTTATCTCTTGTGAAACAAAGCAGCTTCTATTCAAACAAGCGCACTCTCTCACTGGCACGCTGCTGGGCGGTGCCATACTGTAGATTAGGATGCAGGTTTGCCACACGGAGGCTACCGACAAAAGCCCTCAAGCCAAATGGGAAAATGTTGGCAAGGGAAATGGTCAGCGCTCTGTTCAGGGGTCGTTGAACCAAAGATTTAAGCGTTAACAGCTCCAGTGGTTCTGCACAGTGGCTATTCTGAGCAGCTTCCCGCTGAATGTGAGAGAGTGTGTGAATGTGAGGAGAGGAACGGCTAAAAAATGTGCATGTCTTTGGGTGAACATGTTATTAACCATCATTTTTAGTATTAAAAACTAGCAAAATACAAAAAACTCCTCTCTTACCCAACAGAAACACTATAAGGCTGATGCACGTGTGATGTATCTGTAATGAATATGTCCAACTGTGCGTGTAGGGGGTCTAAGACACGTGCTTGTTAGGAAGGAACAGATGCCGAAAACTAATCTGTGAGACCCCATAATCTGGTGGGAGTGTGTGCGTACGTGCATGTGTTTTAGTCCCCAGGCAAGCCCCTGCAGCTCGCTCTGCTTTGCGATGCATTTATCCCTCTGAACTACACCCTGAACAATGTGAGCTGGTGCTTCTGCCATTACTGCACACTGAGTAAGGAAGTTAAATACTCAAATGCACAGGCACACACTGACGTGCACACACACTAGATCTTACATCCTATTAGCGATTACATCATTGACAAACTGGCACTCACGTGACGCGCATAAGAACATGAGATGGACAATGTGTCGACCTGCTCTGTCAACAACTGGAGGAACCTCCTTACATCACAGAAACAAACTACATTTCGAAGGACAGTATTCAAAGGAAGCAAGAAACTGCTGATAGATATAGAAAAGTGTGAGAACTCTTGTACCATGACAGGCAAACCTTTAGAATATTAAAGTGGAAACACTATATTTGGAGCCATAACATACTAGCTTGATCTCACATGGTTACACTAGCCACGTTTTACACTGTGGTTGTATTGCTCTATGAATTTTATCACAGTCTTACCTCCACCTCGCAGGTGAAGTCAGTCCCATCCAGCAGGGTCACGTGACACACCACCAACTTCATCTTGTTCTTTCTCACCAGACGAAGAGGAGACTGGAAAATGGAGGTCTGGCCTTCTCCTGCCTCCCCTTCAGCCTCCACTGCTCCCTCCTTCTCCTTCGTCCCCTCCTCTGCTCCTTCTCCCTCTGTTGTCTCCTTGGTCTCTTCTGGACTTTTCTCTGCACTCTCTTCCACCTTCTCTTCCTTGGCAGGCTAACAGGGTTTGCAAGAAATAAATAAATAAACTTGCAATCTTCTTAAAAACATAAGAATATCTTCATTACTTGTTGAGACCAAATTTTCCTTTCCGTGTGTAATTCCCCCTCTAGTCTGAATTTGCTCATAGAAAAGGCAGGCGTTTCTTTTGGCTTGATCACTGAAATGTTGATGTCACTGGGTGGGCCTGGGTGGCTTAATGTGATCAGTGGATGCAAGAGTCCAAGGGAGAAAGGAGTTTGTGTGTGTGTGTATGCTCCAGTGTTTCTTTGTTGCTCTGGTAATTTAACAGCATTTTTAAGCAGTTTGCTGTAAACTGTCAATACACATCAACACTGTCTGAACATTGTAGAAAATATCACATCTCGTTGTTGGGTTTCTTACCATCTGTGTTTACCACAATATGTGGCTGGTTAACAAAAGCAGAATGCTGTTGGGGAACTTTAATCACTCTGACCGCTAAAGAATATGTTACAGGGTACAATAATACTGACACTGGCCTTGTAGTCTGTCTAGTGTTTCCATGAGGGTTTGTAAATGACTATACTGATTTTTAATTTATTTACAACAGGCATAAGGAGACTGAAATGCAAAGCCATTCACTCAGCCCATCAGGTAAAGTACACACAATTCCCTGGTACAGACATGTATTCTGTTATTAGCGACGCAACTGCTGCAGGATACTTTTACTCCCATTTCATAGGTCTCCTTCTCTGACATAAAACAAGGTTGATACTAAAAGTCTGAATATAATATGTTACCTAAACTTTGTTTCCACTGACACTGTGCCTATGAGCTGATGTAGAGCTGTAAAGAACGTAGAGCTCATACCAGATTTTTAGCACCATTGTTTTTTAGTGGAAAAAATCCATACAGAATACCGATACAGGAATAACAAATATCAATATTTAATTAAATAAAGTAAAAAAACTCTGGTAATACTCATCTCATGCATCACCATCCTGAGATAACATTAGTCGAGCAAACTGACATTAAATCGGTCCAACTGAAAAACCATCCGACACTGGGGAAACTTGGCCTGACAAAGCTACCTCTCTATCAACCATATATCAAAATGTTAAAAATCACAATAACATCATATCACGAGTGAAGTGCTGTGATAATATTGTATCATGGGCGGTGTGGTTATTTCCACCTCTGGTGGAACTGTGTTGAAACCATTACTGACTTGGCAGAAAACACGTATTAGTCAGATGTAGAAGTGGTGACAGACAGATTATGTTCCTTTGGACATAATCAAGGATTTTTCATCTTTTCTTCAGTTTCCATGCTATATAGATATCTGAGTGTTATTGAGCTTTTCATCTGACAGAATGAGATTTTGGAGGAAGCAGGCATAGTTTAAAAAGAAGTAAAAATAAGCTTAACCATTTTTTAAGGGATGTTTATATTTCTTTTTCTGAAATCACCATTATAACCTGACAGTGCTAAACATCTTGTTTTCTGACTCTACTTTAAAGCATATGCTATGTAGTGTTGTAGTGAACCCGTGAGCAGTACCTCAGTGTCTGCACTGGCGTTGGAATGAGTTTCTGCTTCTCTTTCCTTCACTTGCTCAGACTTGACTTCCTCCTTCTCTTCCACTTCCTCAGCGTGACCGTTCACTTCTGGGGTAGGCCCTTCCTCTTCCTGTGTCACCTCGCTAACAGGTTCCTCTGTAGGGGGGTCCTCCTTCGTTGGGGAGGTCTTAGCAAAAAACCCAAATAAATCCAAATAAAATTAAAATCTAACATAAAAGTTCATTAATGCACCAGCAGTTAAAATGAGCCTGAAAAACGATTGTTGCTAAATAATTTAAGTAAAATTCCCTACAGAGTTGTGACAATATAACATAACAACAGTGTGAACCCAGTTTCACCTGGCTTTGAGACTTCTGCTTCTTAAGCCATGTTGGCAGGTATCGAGATATTCCTTTGCCTTCCTTCCCCTCTTTTTCCTTCACCTTTGCTCTTTCCTTCTCCTCTACTTCAGCGTTTGCTACTTCCTGGGAATCTTCCGTGGCCTTCTCCGATTGGTCGGGCTCAGCGGCTGACTCCTCAGCTTTCTCCTTCACCTCCGTCTCAGAGCCCGCTTCTGTTGTCATGGTGACAAATCAACCTGAAGCAAAAGTGACAACGATGAAAGAGCGTTGAGTTAAAGTTTTAAAAGCAACACATTAAACAGATACTTACACAATAAATAGATCTTTAGTTTTAGCTTACTGGTTATGCCTTGCATTATACAAATTTTGGACATTACTGAAAAATTCTGAATAACCTGACCGAATTCAACCACTTATTTGAGCAAGAATATCAATTTTTCATGGCATGCAACATTGTCGTCATTTATAAATGAGCCACATGGTTCTGTGTTTCTTTTTCCTTTGAGAGGGATCTGTGCTTCTTCTACACTGGAGGTAAAACAGACTATAAAACAAAATAGAAAGCTCTTATGTCTGTAAACATGTCATAGGAAATAAAAAGGCTCATATAAGTTAGCCAATTTTGGCTCACAGCTGCTAATGAATGACATCAACTGTGTTTTTACACAAGTAAAGAAAAACACGAAAGTTTGGGAAGTCATTATGCAACACAATAAGTTTCATCTGGGTCAACAGCTGGTTACAAACAATCACACAAACACACGCACACACACACACACAGAAAGAGAAAGAGGACGAATTTCTCAATCCCTTGTAATGTGAATCACTGGTTTTACCCTGCAGCTGTGGTCAGCACACACACTCGTCAACCCAAATATCTTTGGCAGCCTGTCCACACACACCCTATCACAAAACAGACACTTTCATTTGCGGTGACGCAAATTTTGTTAATAACACTATGTGGCGATGACACAAACAGTAAGGACATGTTAAGGTCAGGAATGTGGAAATCCATTCACACAGGGTGCCTACCTGGCTGCACACACAGCCTCCTTTAATCTAGTAGCTTCAGGCTAAAAGCTAACCATAAATCAAGCACTACGAAGTCATCATCATTCACTGTGCTTTCAGTTGTTCGAATCTTTCCCAGCCTATTTTCTCCATCACCCAGACTAGGCTTTCCTGGCCTCATTCCTATAATTCTATTATTCATTACATCGTCTGCATTTTATTTTGTGACCATCTTACCCGCTCTCCGTCTTTCTTTTTTCTGCCCTGCCACCTTCAATAAGAGAGGACGTGCATACACGCACACCCACCCACCCACCCAGCACCAGTGGTGTGTAGGGAGGGGGAGGGAGTAAAAATAGAACAGGTCTCCTTACGCATGATCGGCTAATGAGGTAGGGAAGGGAGAAGGAGGTGTATGTGTAGCATGCAAATATCAGAAAGGATATAGACACTATGTTCCTGTGCAGACAGGTGAACAAAAGGTGTTTTTTTTTTAAATGTTCTTTAAAAATGCTGACATTACACAACAAAGTGATTTTTTTTTTTTATATTATCATTTGTTGAGAAGTGGGACTCATCTCCACATCCATGTGTTTGACTTCTCCAGTGGTGAAGTACATTTATGAGATGGATTTTACACAAAAATAATACACAGATGACCTAATGAACAAGTTATGCTTTGATGTTTTCTTCCAATCCTCTCACAAAGCTGTTTTATTTTTTAGACAGATAACTTACTAAATTTTGACTATTTGTTTTATTAAAAAAATAAAACTAACTCTAACAAGTACACAATAAGATAAGTCAGTTTAAGCGCTGATAAACACAAATTTCTAATCAGCTACTCACATGGCAGTAAATTTAGGCATACAGACACTATCAGCTGAAGTTCAAGGTGAGCATCAGGAGCATCAGAATGGGTAAGAACGGTGATTGAAGTGGTTTAAATATTTCACAAACTGCTAATCTACTGGGACTTTCTCACACAACTATTTCTATGGTTTACAGAGAATTGTCATAGATTTAAAAAAAGAAGGGGGGGTGGTATTGTAGGTGAAAAGGTCATGTTGATATCAGAGGTCAGAGGAGAATGTTACATCTGCTTCAAGCTGATAGGAAGGCAACGGTAACTCCAATTACCACTTAAATTACCACCAGGGTATGCAAACAAGCATCTCTGAATACACAACACATCGAACTTCGAAGCAGATGGGATAGAGCAGCAGAAGAACACACCAGGTGCGACTCCTGTCAAGGAATAACAGGAAATTTGCGCTACAACTCACATGGGCTCACCAAAATTGGACAACATATAATGTTTCCTGTCTGTTCAGTCTCCATCTCTACTGCACTATTTGAGTTGTAGGGTCAGAAACTGGCGCAAACAACATGAAAGTATGGATCCATCCCATCTTTGCGTCGGTTCAGGCTGGCAGTGATGATATAGTGTTGTGGGGAATATTTTACAAGCACCTACTTGGTTTGACTTGACTTTTAGATTTTCCATTAGGTGGAAGTTCCTGGTACCAGGTGCTTTTTAGTACCTACTCCACCGGAGCACCATGTGATCTGAGCCACTAACTGGCCCGTCAGTGGGATTACTTGATGAGTCACGAAAGACGCTCCTACACAAACAAAATCTCAACCACCATTTTTAAACCTAGCAACCAGGATAATAGCTCCACACAAACCAACAATCTCGCTAATAATAATAATAATTGCTATCATCACCAATTTCACACTGGTTTCATGAACATGACATTGAGTTCTCTGTATTCACATGGCCTCCACAGTCACCAGATATTATTCCAACAGAGCAATTTTGGGATATGAGGGAGCCGGAGATTCAGGAAATTTTCAATCTAAAATAACTGCCTGGGCTTTGTGCTAAGACGACTAAAGTGACAAGACTTGGATTCTAAGACTCGCATTGAGTTATAACATTAAGTATTACTTATAACATTTATTTGGATGTAGTTTCAGATGCAACAAGTAGCATCTACTGGAAAAGTCTATTTTAGAGTCGGTCGTCATTTAAAATAACATGGTCAGTCTCACTAGACTAAACTATGACGGCAGAAAAGAAAAAAAAAATACGACCAGCGTACAATGCAAACCAAACAACCAAATAACTCTGTACCACACAGACACGAAGAGACTTTAAACCAATTTTGAGAGGCAACAGATCTATTTTTTCCACTATGTCAGTCATCACAACAGCTCTGTTACTACAGACCAACTGCAGTTCATACTCCTTTGAAACATTGTTTCTCAATGGGCCAGCTCTAAGTGTGCGTTTGTGTGAGCTGGCATTAGAGTGGAGCTTCGTCACGGCCACTTAGGCCTGCTTTAAACTTGCCCTCCTTATCCGCAACTGTTTAACACCAGCAACCTTGTTCTACCTCTCTCACAACTATCTAACTCACCCTCTTCACAACTCTCTCTTCTGCTCTCCAGTCCAGGGTGCCTCTTTCTCTTTTTCACTAAATCTCTGCACTCATCTCTCTCCTCTCTTCCTGGGGCCCCTTTCAATCCCCCCCCCCCCCCAATCACCCACTCGTATTATCTCCCTCTACACTCCTCCTGTTTCTCTCCTCTTCCCACAGTCCATATAAAAACACCAGTGACATTACAATCTCGCTTCAAATACACAGACATATATACGCACTTGACAGTTTATGGCAGGAAACTGTGACCAAGTTTCTTATAAACGGGGTCAAATATGGGTTAAACACTGAGTCATAAACTCCTGTATAAGCAATCATCAGAAGATGTGTTTTGTTGCTTCATCAAGGACATTTTCATGCAGAATTTGTCTAGAGGCATGTACTGTAATACTTGGGTGCTGTGGTACATTTCATCCTATTTCACAGCCAATTAGTAGTGTTCAAATAACCCAGATGTCTAAAAAGGCACAAATAGCCTGCAGAGTCATTGTAAATACAAACTCAGACACTGCCCTGCCAGCTGCACACTTGAGAGAAATATGGTTTTCTAATTTTATTCAGCCTCATCTCTTTAATGTGACCTTCCTTCAATTAATTGATCTGCACAAGACCATCAAAGCAGTAGAAATCTGCCAATAATAAAAATCCTGACTCAGCTTGTTACACCTCTCATTTTACAGATGAACGGTTGACTGAATGGCTGAATTAACTGACGAACTAATGACCTTACCTACTGTTGTTTCTGTTGCCTTCTTTCCCCCCCTGCAACTCTCTTCCTTCTTCTGACGTTCTGTTTACCCTCTGTTTGCACTTTCTTTTACTTTTTCTGCCTCTGTTCTTCTATTCGTTTTCCTTTCCCTTCCCTTCCTTTCCCTTAGCAAATGCCTGCCCTACAAAATGTCATTGCCATTTTCTCTCCTACATCCTCTCCTCTCTTTCCCTCAGAGCTCTGCTTCCCCCGGGACGATTGCTCAGAGAAATGAGGGCAGAAAATGAGAGAGCATGGGAAGGTAGGGGGTGGAGATAGTCAAGAAAAGTGTGTGAGAAAAGAGCAGCAATGGAGATAGGCTGAAGAAGGATCCAAAAAGGAAAGAGAGAGGGAGAGCGAACAATCTCACAGACATGCCTACTATGCTGGATTACTAATGGACATTAGCATGAAAACTGCATTTTCACAACACTGTTGTTCACATCTTTTGGCATGAAAACCATGCCTAAAAGCTCATACAAAGTTGTACTTTCAATCAATTCACAATCTTTCACTTCCTTCCTTCACAGTGTTTATCACTAAAGGAAATTAAGCATCTTCCTTTCCAACAATGACATTTTAAAAACCATGAAAAAAAAAAATGTCTTTCTCTCGCTTTCATATTGAAAATCTTTTGTTGAAACACTAAAACACTAAGCCTTTACTTTGTGTGTTTAGAATGCCAAACCTTCCAGCTTCATTTTATATACAATACAAAGAAAAAGGAAAAAAAAAGAGTAGTTAATGCTGGCGACATCTCCAAGGAAAATGCTCCTACGTTACCTGCTTCTACCAAATTACCCATGCGCACATGTAGGGAGTTAGTGTTCTCACTTTTTAAACACTAGACTGCTGTCACATGAGTCTCACACACTCACACACACACACACACACACACACACATTCTTCTCCACTTACAACTTTATTGCTGTCTGACTGGGTTTTAGGGTTGTCATCATAGTAACGACAACTTCCTGGCCTGGATTGTGGCCAAGAGATAAAAATTTACAACAGGCTGAAACAGGCGTGG